TTTAATATTTATGCATAATAATTTTTTAAATTTATTAGAATAATTATTTGATTATTTCATTGATAATAAAATGAAATAAAATAGGATAATAACTAAAAAAATATATTAAAAATGCTAAAACAATAATAAAAATAATCTAAAAATAATAATAATAAAATTGAATAATTTTATTTATTTATTTATTTATTTTATTTTTCCTGCTCAGATGTTGGAGGGAATAAAAATATACTTTTAAAAATAATTTTACCTAGATGTTGAAGAATTATTATATAAAGATTAATCAATAAAAAAATGGTATAAAAAAGATAATAATAATAATAATAATAATGAATAATAATAATAATAATAATAAAAAAAGGAAATACATGAAAACCTTTTAATTAATATTTAAAAATTATCAAAATCGAACTTGCTCCGAAAATCTATCTAGATGTCAAAGATTTTTGGAGATGTTTATGTTTTCTTTAAACCCTAAAATCCAAATCCTAAAACCCTTAAACCCCCGAAATTGAAACATTAAACCCTCTAAACGCTAAAACTGAAACCTTAAATCCTCCAAATCCTAAAATCGAAACCCTAAAGCTTGCAAACCTTAAAATCAAAATTAAACCTCTATACCTCAAAATTGAAACCCTAAACCTTCAAAACCCTCATACTGAAACCCCAAAACTCAAACCCTATAATCTAAAATCCTAAAAAACCCCAAATTTAGTAGCACACAATCCCGAATCATAGCATAAAAATCATGCAACCCTTAAAACCTCGACCCAAACCTATGCTTAAATTTTTTCTGAAACCCTAAATACAAGTGTAAAAATCTCATATGAAATGATTTATTCCCAAATGCCACCTAGATGATAAGGTATTTAGGAAACTTTATTTCATCAAGTTTTTCGTACGAATTCCTAATCCTCATTAATAATGGGACTAATCTTTAATAAAAAGATAATAGTAAATTGGGATCTTAAATATAAATAATTGTACCTAAACTCTGCCTAGATGTTGGAGAGTCAAGGTGGTCTCATTATATTTAAGAATCCATTTGTTTGTGTTGCATAATATTCATTGGTATACATACGTTATCATGTTATCATTGGCAATCATTTGCATTCTTTTGTCTATAATTTTTTTTATTTATTTACTACTTGGTGATAAAATATTTTATAATAAAAAGGAATAATACATTTTTAAAATTTTGTGATATTATAAAATAAAATAAAAATAAAATAAAAATAGCATTTTAAAGGAAATAATTCTTGGTACTCTGCCTAGATGTTGGAAAGTCACCAACAATTATCTTCTATAAAAGTGTTATTTCATTTTAAGGGATATTGTATTGAATCTTAGGCGAAAAGAGTTATTTTAAATTCTACCTAGTTGTTGAAGAATTTGAAGATAATTCTTTAACTTAAAAATTTTCTCAATACTCCTAAATAAAAAGCTTTAGCAAAATTTATATTTTTTCAAATGACAGGGATTATTATTAAATTCAAATTGAAACCATTTTTATCCAACACCAAAAATAACGTATAATTAAATGGTATCAATTTATGGGCATTGTGGGGGTGCTAATCATTTCTCACACGTAATCGACTCCGGAGCCTAACCTGATTTTTTATGGACCAAAATTTATCTTTTTGATGAACTTTAAACTCACTTTTTATAGTTTTATTAAAAAGATAAACTTTTGGGTGACCAACCACACCTTAAAACAGATTGGTGGCGACTTTCATTTTATTTTCTTAATTTTAAAATTCTTTATGTCTGGCAGTCTCAAAATTGTTATGATAGCCTGGCGATTCCACTGGGGACTATTTGAGAGTCAGGCCAAATTTTAATTATACACTACTAATGGTCGTTGGATTTAATTGGTTTTATTTGATATTTATTTAATTCCCTTTATTTTAATTTTTCAAAATATCTATACATACAAGTCAATAAAAAAAATAAATTGCATGTTAGTTATTACTTTATTTTGATTCTATGTTTATGATTTATTTGTGTTATTTTGATTAATGCATCACTTTGCACACACTTCGCATACACTTCGCATATTCACTTACATGCATGAGCTCTAAACCTAGGCTCTTTTCTTTTTAGGAAGAAGTGAAGTAGTTACGCCTTCGTGAGGTGATAACCTCCATATTTGCTAGCGAACACTTTCACTCAAATTGAACCCTTTTCATTAGTAACCTGTAATGAGTGAGGATTAGAGAGCCTTACTAGTTTATAATGAATGATGATGTGAGAAATAGTCTAGGAGCTTTTAGACACATAAACCTTAACCCAGCATATCTTGACCTATAGGAAGTTTGCCTAGGGTAAAGCCT